AAAAAACCCCTATTTTTGACTTTTTGCTTTAAACCCATTGCCCCCGCCTATGGGGGGAACGGCCCCGGAAAAATGTCATCACGTTCCGGGTGGACGCCTATTGCGCCCTCCCACTGTGCGTTTGCGCTCTTGCAGACCCGCCGCGGAGGATCTGTCACGGTGTCCGTGTACCTTGGACACGGGCCAATGACAGCAGATCTGGGTATCGGCCCTCGTTGCCGTTGGTACCATTGTGACCGGCGGGTGACCAATCACAGCAGGTCACCATGACAGTTGTTATTACAATGGGATGGCTTCATACATGCCATCCATTTGTATACTAGTGTCTAGGCTGTGAATGGTCACAGCTAATCACATGCACATGTCCATGTGATTAGCTGTGGCCAATTCACAGCTCTAAGCACACAAAAATTAACAAAACCTGAACTGAACGTTCGATGCATTCAGGTAAAATTGATTGCTGTATAGCAACAGTCATTCTTTGCTATAAGCCCCAAATTGTGTGAAAAAAAAAAAAATTATGATCATATTGGTGACAATATGTAAAAAAAAAATAGTGAAACTAATTTTTTTAATTTTTTAATTTTCGGAAAAATTATGACAAAAAAACCATAAACAACTTCAAAAAATTCCGCCATGCCTGTTATGAAGTACGTCGGACTGTGCTACTCTGCAAAAAGGGTCATTTGGGGGATGATCTGTACTGTTCTGACATTTGGGGGATTATCTGTACTGTCCTGACTGGGGGATATCTGTACTGTCCTGACATTTGGGGGATATCTGTACTGACATTTTGGGGATTCTGACATTTGGGGGATATCTGTACTGTCTCTGAATTTGGGGGATAATCTGTACTGGTCCTGACATTTGGGGGATATCTGTGTACTGTCCTGACATTTGGGAAGGGGATATCTGGGGGTATCTGTACTGTCCTGACATTTGGGGGATATTTCTGTACTGTCCTGAACATTTTGGGGGATATCTGTACTGTCCGGACATTTGGGGAGTGATATCTGTACTGTCCTGACATTTGGGGGATATCTGTACTGTTCTGGACATTTGGGGGATATCTGTACTGTTCCTGACCATTTGATGGGATATCTGTACTGTCCTGACATTTGGGGGATATCTGTACTGTTCCTGACTTTGTGGGGGATATCTGTACTGTCACCTGAACATTTGGGGGATATCTGTACCTGATCCTGACATTTGGGGGATATCTGTACTGTTCTGACATTCTTGGACCTCAAGAAATTAGATTGGCGTCAGTACTTCAGGATTGATCAATATTCAGATCTATACCATAGTTTAGTGAACTCTATAACTTTCCTACAAACTAAAAAACATCGTAAATTTGGGTTATTTTCACCAAAGACATGGAGCAGAATACATCTCGGCCTAAAATTTATGAAAGAACAATTATTTATTTGCAAACTTTTATAAACAGAAACAAAGAAAAACGAGTGATTGTTTTTTTTTCAAAATTTTTGGTTCTTTTTTTGTTAATTTAGCAAAAAATAAAAAAAACCCAGCGGTGATTAAATACCACCAAAAGAAAGTCTAGTTGTGTGAAGGAAAATTGATACAATTTTAGTTTGGGGTACAGTGTTGTATGACCGCGCAATTGTCATTCAAAGTGTGTGAGAGAGCGCTGAAACCTGAAAACTGGCCTGGGAAGGAAGGTGTAAAATTGCCCGGGTATTAAATTGGTTTAAACATGGGCAGTAACAAAATTTTTGAAAAAAAAATCTACATTTCTTCATAAAATTGAGGCCAATGTATATTCTGTGACATGTCTTTTGCTAAATAAAAAATCCCAATATGAGTGTAATAGTAATAGACTTTGTGTGAAAGCCATAACCTTTGATACTGAACCTCGTGAACAAGGAAAATTGGCGACTTCGTCACAGAGGCACCAGCTAAGCGGCACCAACATTTGCCCAATCTCAGTCCTTGGCGTGGAGGAGGGGGGCAGAAGGGGTACCTGCCCTGGGTGCCCACGTTGAGGGGGGTTGTGTGCTGGAGGTTGGTTTCGCTCCTCATTGACTGAGTGACTTTAGGCTCACTCTTGCTGGAAGGAGGATTTGTCTTTTCTCTCCCTCCAGGCTGCGAGGGCAGCAGAGTAGCCGGGATGCTGGCAGCCCTTCTGTCCCTCTGCCTTGTTTTTGGATCCCCTTACCTGAGCTGAGGGGAAGGGGACATGAATGGCGGACTGAAGAAAAACCATGTGAGTCAGATATTATCCCCATATATACAGCTGAGAAAAAGTGAGGCCAGCCTGGGGCCGTATTGTATGTTTATCACCCTATAAATGTCCCTGGGGGGAGGGGGGGGGACTGTCATGGTGCTTAGCAACTGAGTTCACACTGCTGATAGGTCTGAACCGGGCCTACGGTATTTCTGAGCACACATGTATTGTACCCGTCCACACCGAGTACATGTATGGAGGGATTGTACGCCGTCCGCACCGAGTACATGTATGGTGGGATTGTACGCCGTCCGCACCGAGTACATGTATGGAGGGATTTTACGCCGTCCGCACAGAGTACATGTATGGTGGGATTGTACGACCCGTCCACAGAGAGTACATGTATGGTGGGATTGTACGCCGTCCGCACCGAGTACATGTATGGTGGGATTGTACGCCTCCGCACCGAGTACATGTATGGATGGGATTGTACGCCGTCCGCACCGATGTACATGTATATGGAGGGATTGTACGCCGTCCCCCGAGTACATGTATGGTGGGATTGTACGCCGTCCGCACCGAGTACATGTATGGGGGATTGTACGCCGTCCGCACCGAGTACATGTATGGTGGGATTGTACGCCGTCCGCACGAGTACATGTATGGAGGGATTGTACGCCGTCCGCACCGAGTACATGTATGGATGGGATTGTACAAGGCCGGGTTCAATCAGAATGTCCTAGGCCACCTTTTTAAAGACCCGGCCTTTCCTGGCACTCTTTGTTTACATCTAAAAATCAGTCATTTCTTGCTAGAAAATTACCGAGAACCCCCAAATATTTATGAATTTTTTTTTAGCAGAAGCCCCTAGAATAAAATGGAGGTCATTGCAATCTTTTATGTCACACGGTTTTTGCGCAGCAGTTTTTCAAATGCATTTTTTTATGGAAGAAAACACTTTAAAAAAAGAAAGTAAAAAAAAAAACAAACCACAATATATACCCCCTTTACCAGTTTGGAGTTACAAAGGAGGTCTGTTGTGTTAGAATTACCGTTTTTTTCGCTCCATAAGACGCACGCTAGGTTTTAGAGCAGAAAACAGGAAAAAAAATATTCGGAACCAATGGACTGCAGACACAGTACAGGAAATGACCAGAGACTGCGGACATAGTACAGGAGATGACCAGAGACTGCGGAATAGACAGGCGATGACACTGCGGACAGTACAGGAGATGACCAGAGACTATGCGGACACAGTATCAGGATTTGACCAGAGACTGCGGACATAGTACAGGAGATGACCAGAGAGCGGACACAGTACAGGAGATGACCAGAGACTGCGGACATAGCACAGGAGAGGACCAGAGACTGCTGACATAGCACAGGAGATGACCAGAGACTGCGGACAGTACAGGAGATGACCAGAGACTGCGGACATAGCACAGGAGATGACCAGAGACTGCGGACATAGCACAGGAGATGGACAGAGACTGCGGACATAGCACAGGAGATGACCAGAGACTGCGGACAGTACAGGAGATGATCAGAGACTGCGGACAGTACAGGAGAGATGATCAGAGACTGCGGACATAGCACAGGAGATGACCAGAGACTGCGGACAGTACAGGAATGACAGAGACTGCGGACAATACAGGAGATGACCAGAGACTGCGGACACAGTACAGGAGATGACCAGAGACTGCGGACATAGTACAGGAGATGACCAGAGACTGCGGACATAGTACAGAAATGACAGGAGATGCGGACACACAGGAGATGGACCAGAGACTGAGGAGATAGCACAGGAGATGACCAGAGACTTGTGGACATAGCACAGGAGAGGACAGAGACTGCGGACATAGCACAGGAGATGACAGAGACTGCGGACATAGTACAGGAGATGACCAGAGACTGCGGACAGTACAGGAGATGACCAGAGACTGCGGACATAGTACAGGAGATGACCAGAGACTGCTGACATAGTACAGGAGATGACCAGAGACTGCGGACAGCACAGGAGGACCAGAGACTGCTGACATAGTACAGGAGATGACCAGAGACTGCGGACATAGCACAGGAGATGACCAGAGACTGCGGACATAGCACAGGAGATGACAGAGACTGCGGACATAGCACAGGAGATGACCAGAGACTGCGGACATAGCACAGGAGATGACAGACTGCGGACAGTACAGGAGATGATCAGACCATCAGACTGCGGACAGTACAGGAGATGACCAGAGACTGTGGACATAGCACAGGAGATGACCAGAGACTGCGGACAGTACAGGGATGACCAGAGACTGCGGACAGTACAGGAGATGACCAGAGACTGCGGACATAGTACAGGAGATGACCAGAGACTGCGGACATTAGTACAGGAGATGACCAGAGACTGCGGACAGTACAGGAGATGACCAGAGACTGCGGACATAGTACAGGAGATGACCAGAGACTGCGGACACAGTACAGGAGATGACCAGAGACTGCGGACACAGTACAGGAGATGACCAGAGACTGCGGACACCAGTACAGGAGATGACCAGAGACTGCTGCATAGTACAGGAGATGACCAGAGACTGCGGACACAGTACAGGAGATGACCAGAGACTGCGGACACAGTACAGGAGATGACCAGAGACTGCGGACACAGTACAGGAGATGACCAGAGACTGCGGACACAGTACAGGAGATGACCAGAGACTGCGGACACAGTACAGGAGATGACCAGAGACTGCGGACACAGTACACCAGACTGCGGACAGTACAGGAGATGACTGCGGACAGTACAGAGACTGCGGACAGTACAGGAGATGACTGCTGACCTTTGGGGAGGGGGGGGAGCGGGTAGCTGAATTTGACAGGTACCCGCTCTTACTTCCGCGGAGTTGTTCTTTAGTTAGTGTCCGCTCTGCAGCGGGACCTTACCTGTTCCTCTATCCAGCCACCTGCTGTCTTCCCGGCTTCTGTAGTGTGGGCGCTCTGCTTGACAGCGGGTGCCCAGTGCGCATGAGCGAGAAAGTACTGCGCTTGTGATTGGTCCAGCGGCTTCTGGGATCTGTCATGTGTCCCAGGTGCCGCCTTACCATTCACAAAGAGCACCGCTTCTTGCGCATGCGCACTTGGCACCCGGCTGTCAAGCCGATCGCCCACACTACAGAAGCCGGAAGACAGCGCGCGCCTGGATAGAGGAACAGGTAAGGTCCCGCTGCAGAGCTGAGCGGCCGGCCTGTATTCTGACACGGCGCGGGTGTTGGAAATACCGGACCAGCCGCTCCATATTCGCTCCATAAGACGCACTGACATTTACCTCTTTTTTTGGGGAAAAAAAGTGAGTCTTATGGAGCGAAAAATACGGTATTTCGCTCACTTTGATGTTCGCGGCGATACCTCACGTGTGGTGCGATCACCCTTTACATATGTGGGCGTGACCTACATGTGTGTTCACCACTGCGCGCAAGCACAGGGGGACGGGGGTGCTATAATTTTTTTTTTTTATTATTATTTTATGTTGTTTTTTTTTTTTGTTTTTTTTTTACACTGTCCTTTTACATTTTTTTTAATCAGTTTTTTTGCTACCGCAAGAAATGTAAACATCGCATGCGATAACAATACAGCATGACAGGTCCTCTTTATGGAGAGATCTGGGATCTATAAGACTCCATATCTCTCATCTACCTTTTAAAAGCAAAACGCTGGAACAGGAAGTGACATCATGATGATGCTCTGATCTTCCTAGGCCATAGAGATGAGTGAAGGCCATCTTTCCTCCACTCATTGCTATGCCCTGCTGCGGCAGATCGGTTCCCAGAGCTACCAATCGTCATAAATTTAGGCCAAAATGTATTCTGTGACATGTCTTTGCTAAAAAAAAAATCCCAATACGTGTAAATTAATAGGTTTTCGTGAAAGTTATAGCGCTTACAAATGGCGGTATATATATACTGGGATATTTATTTTTTTTTATACTAGTAATGGCGGCAATCAGCGAGTTAGAGTGGGACTGCGGCGGGCATTCTGACCATAACTGACACTGACTAACTGCCACTGACATCTCCAGTGACACTAATACAGTGATCACGTATATACACATGATTTTGCGCAGCCCCACCTCCCTGTAGCAGTACTTCTGCTATAGGGTGGTCGGGAAGCGGTTAAAATGGTTTGTGTATTTTCATTGCTGCCTTTGAAGCCACATAACATACCCTGTCCCTGCTGTATAGTGTATTTATTTGGTACATGCCCCCCTTGGCAGCGCACAGCTTCTCGGGATTTTTTATATACAGTGGTAGCCTATTAGCTCTAAGAATGGCCAGAATTCAGCAACAAGATTCATTCCCTATGACTCCGCCTCTAAGTTGGGGTTTCCCTCATTTTGAATGAGATCCACCCTGGAAGAACTAAACTCCGGCAAATTCGCCCGTCACTAAATCCGATGCTGCAGCTCCATCTGGTCCCATCGCATTCTGCATTGAATGTAAAGTATAAAGAGACCTGAGAAACAATGACCTGACTCCCTGGTTTATGATCAGCGGAAACCCCATGAAAAAGGGGTGTGGCCTTAATATATGGGACTGAGTGGATATCACAGCTATTTTTCACCTCGGGGTCAGTAGCAGATAGATGTCCTTATTAATCCAACCGTATTACAGATCATTTATTTAAAGTGTTACTAAAAACACAACAGTAAAATCAGTCGGTATATGCAGTCATGCATGCTTGTTCTACTCACTGTGGGACCTAAGGGGTTAATCCTCTGCATTATCTAAAGAGGCTGTTTGATCTTGTCTTCTTCGATCCTTCTTTTCTTCTACTGTCCCCAATCTATTTGCTGATAGAAGAGCCTTTGGAGTCACTCTGTACATGCTCAGCTTAGTGTGTATGTGCTAGAGTGTTTTTTTTTTCTTGGGAGAGTGCATGTGAACAGCACAGGGCCAATCAGCGCTATCCAGAGGGTCAGGGGTCATGCAGCCTCATAGGGCAGTCATAGGAGAATGAAAACTCCTCCTACTAGCTTTAACCAGTGCTCTGCTGGACACTGATAGAAGTCACAAGGCTGCTGTATGCTGCTGATGAGTAAAGGTATTTAGCAGTTTATATTTACGAAAATAATTGCATTTCCGTGTTTTGTGTACTGTGGGAGACCAGATATGGTGAATGCAGGGCCCAGGGAGAGCGGATATAGTAGTGAATGCAGGGTCCGGGAAGACCAGATATAGTGAATGCAGGGTTCGGGGAGACCAGATATAGTGAATGCAGGGCAGGGTTCGGGGAGACCAGATATAGTGAATGCAGGGTCCGGGGGGGGAGAGTGAATGCAGGGTCCCGGGGGACAGATATAGTGAATGCAGGGTCTGGGGGACAGATAGTGAATATAGTGAATGCGGGGGTCCGGGGAGACCAGATATATAGTGAATGCAGGGTCCAGGGAGGCCAGATATAGTGAATGCGGGGTCCAGGGAGGCCAGATATAGTGAATGCGGGGTCCAGGGGGAGACCAGATATAGTGAATGCAGGGTCCGGGGAGACCGGATATAGTGAATGCAGGGGGATATAGTGAATCGGGGAGACCAGATATAGTGAATGCAGGGTCGGGGAGACCAGATATAGTGAATGCAGGGTCGGGGAGAGCGGATATAGTGAATGCAGGGTCCGGGGAGACCAGATATAGTGAATGCAGGGTCCGGGGAGAGCGGATATAGTGAATGCAGGGCCAATATGAGGCAGAAGGGTACACTAAATGTTTTTTTGGATGATGATATACACCTTTGTATAAGTTTGTTATTAGCGCATACCTTTTTAATTAGGATTATTTTTAGATCCCAACTGACTGTTCAGTTTAAACAACCTGCAGCAGTCATGAAGACCAAAGCTGGGCAACGCCCTATAGAATATAATCCGCCCCGGTCTATGCAGAAAAGCCTGTGTACAATGTCATTTATTACAATATGACCATTTCTCATTATTTGCACCAATTAGAAAAGCCTGTGCTAAGGAAGTGAAGGGTGAATCTCCCTGACGGGGACACAGACAGCAATAAGAACCTGCCAGGGGGACTAATCCACCTCCATTATGTCCAAAAACAAAAAAAAAAAAGTTTTGTCTTTAGTTATACTTCAATGACCTCCGGGGTTTTAATTTTTTATTAGATAATGGAAAAAAAAAGAGGGAAAGTTTGGGTTTGCATATTCACCTCTTTTTTTTTTTAAATCGATCCCACAATCATTGGTGGTTATTGGTGATGCATACCCTGCCCCCCCCCCCCCTCGGCTCTTGTTCAGTCGTATGATTGCTATTAGTGGTAGTTATGGGCACTGACTTTGTGTGATGTCTAGTTACATGAATGTATTATTAATCTTGTCTTTCTTTCTTTACAGGTTTATTGTCGGCTACTTCATATTTGGTAACCGTTAATTGACGGTTGCTGAGCGGTTGTGATTTTTCACACAAATTCTGAGAAGTGCAAAAATGACCCAATTCGTAAGTATTTTTTTTCACTATTCTTATGACACCCACCCACAACTGCACATACACAAAGGGATGGGGGGGGGGGGGCTCATGACATTATCAACCTAATATGGACACATGGCTGCATTCGTTTTCATTTTCAGACTTTTTCACTAAATTTTCACCTACATATCCTGTGAAGAACACATTTCCTGTCCCTGGGTGGCTATGTTCACCTCTCCCAGGGCTGTGGATATGGGGGTACCACCGGTCCTCCTGTATGGGGCCCAGGCCAGCAGGGGGACCCAAGCAGAGGAGGAACAGAAAAAGATGGAAAAACTCCGAGAGGAGGAGGAGAGAAAATGGGAAAACAAAAAAATAGAAGACATGCAGCGGATGGATGAAATTCGCAGGAAGGAGGAAGCTAATTGGAGAAAAGCAGAGCTAAAGAGAGAAGAACAGAAGAGAAAATCCAAATTACTGCCAATGTAATGTAAATCTGAACGTCCACTAATCGCTTTGTTTTCATTTATAGGTGAAGCGCACAACTTCTAGCTTCCGAGTTCAGGAAGATATTATGTGGGAAGAACTGAGGAAAGGGAGGAAGAGGTGGTATGAAGAAGATCGCAGGAAAAGGAAGGCGGAAAAGATGGAATTAGAGCAGAAGATGATGGAGAAGAAGAGAAAGGAGGAGGAGGAACAGAGAAGGAGGGAAAAAAGAGAGGCGGAGGAAAGAGAAGGAAGGAAAAAAGAGAGGAGGTGGAGGAACAGAGAAGGAAGGGAAAAAAGAGAGGAGGTGGGAGAGAAAAAATGTGAAAACAAAAAAGCACGAGACACGCAGCGGATGGATGACATTCGCAGGAGGGAGGGAGCGAATTGGATAACAGCAGTGCTAAAGAGAGAAGAACAGAAGAGAAAGGAGGAGGAGGAACAGAGAATGGTGGATATAATCAGAGAGGAGGAGGAGAGAAAGTGGCAAAAACAAAAAAAGAGAAGAGGAGAATTTTGCAGAGGGAGGAAGCGAAATGGAAAAAAACCCCCATAGGAAAAGCAGAACAGAGGAGAAAGAAAGCCAGGAGGAACAGAAAAAAGATGGAAAAACTCCGAGAGGAGGAGGGAGAGAAAATGGGGAAAACAAAAAAATAGAAGACATGCAGCGGATGGATGAAATTCGCAGGAAGGAGGAAGCTAATTGGAGAAAAGCAGAGCTAAAGAGAGAAGAACAGAAGAGAAAATCCAAATTACTGCCAATGTAATGTAAATCTGAACGTTCCACTAATCGCTTTGTTTTCATTTATAGGTGAAGCGCACAACTTCTAGCTTCCGAGTTCAGGAAGATATTATGTGGGAAGAACTGAGGAAAGGGAGGAAGAGGTGGTATGAAGAAGATCGCAGGAAAAGGAAGGCGGAAAAGATGGAATTAGAGCAGAAGATGATGGAGAAGAAGAGAAAGGAGAAGGAAAGAGAAGGAGGAAAAAAAGAGAGGCGGAGGAACAGAGAAGGAGGAAAAAAAAGAGAAGGAGGAACAGAGAAGGAAGGAAAAAAGAGAGGCGGAGGAACAGAGAAGGAAGGAAAAAAAGAGAGGAGGTGGAGAGAAAATGTGAAAAACAAAAAAGCACGAGACACGCAGCGGATGGATGACATTCGCAGGAGGGAGGGAGCGAATTGGATAACAGCAGTGCTAAAGAGAGAAGAACAGAAGAGAAAGGAAGGAGGAGGAACAGAGAATGGTGGATATAATCAGAGAGGAGGTGGGAGAGAAAATGTGAAAAAAAAAAAGCACGAGACACGCAGCGTCACTGATCGCCTCCATAGGTCGCTGATCGCCGCCATTATTAGTATAAAAAATGTAAAATTCTATATATACACCGCCATTTGTAAATGCTATAACTTTTACGTAAACTAATTAATTTACACGTATTGGGATTTTTGTTTAGCAAAGACATGTCGCAGAATACATTTTGGCCTAAAAATTTATGACAAAATTTGATTTTTTTAAATTTTTTTACTGGGCGTTGTGGGATTAAAAAATGTCCCAAAATATTGTTTTCTTCTGAGCCAAAGTTCTTCCATCTTAGAATCAGTATCCATCTTAAGTCAGTACTTTAAAAGAATTGACTTCTCTTGTCTTAAACGGTAATTTGTCAGGAGTTAAAAAGTTCCTCTTTTTTGTCCAGGTGAAACTTCCCCTTTTTCCTTAGCTAGCCCGAGACTGAAAGTCTGTGGTGGGCTACATCCTGTTGAGAGAGTAGTATTAATAACTATAAGCCAACGGTAAAAGAGGAATTGTCTGCTTTCTGTGCTGTTCAAAAGTTCAAAGCTTGACGTATATAATAATAATTAACATATATGCCAACTGATTGGGCATGACTGACGTATGTAATATTCTCTAATTGGTTAAAAGCATACCTGTCAATTGATTAATTCTTATATTTATATGCATTGTTTTAAGTTTCATATATAAGTTTAAACACGGAAGAATAAATTCAGTTCATTCTGAGATACTACCTTGTGTCTGTCTGCAATTCCTTTGTGTCTCAGGTGAACTCCAGATCTGAGGGTAATTGCTGACCAATGCCAGGGGCTGACGGGAGTCAGTGCAGAGAGGAACGAGAGTCAATTCCTTTCAGGCGTGTTGTGTGTTATAGCAAAAAGTCCAAAATATTTTTTTTTTTTTCTCAAAATTGTCAGTCTTTTTTTTTTATAGAGCAAAAAATAACCATAGAGCTGATTGGAGACCAGAATGGTGCCAATCATCTCTATAGTCTAAGAAATCGGATAGCTACGAGCATTTCATCACTTCAGTTTCGCAGGATATAAACAGCGCAATTTGTAAATTGGAAAAGCATCTGATCACACCGATCTTGGTTTGATTAGATAATGTAAGGGCAGAGGAGATATCTAGAGTCTGATAGACCCCAAATTTTTAAAAAAAAAAGAATATATGACAATGCCCATTGAAGTTATTGGGGATATTTGCATTCCCTGTGATAGCATTAAAAGTGATAAAAAAAATTAAAGGGGCAGTGTAAATATAATTAAAAAACATCAAAATAACTTAACCCCCCCCCCCACATGCACACACGCACACCTATGTGCACGAGCCTTGACCCTGTGCCGGTATGTAAACAGCGGTTGTACCATGCATGTGAGGTATCGCCATGAACGTCAGCTCAAGGGCAGTAATTCTAACACTAGACCTCCTCTGTAAATCTAAAATGGTAGCTTTTAAAACCTTGCCTATGGATATTAAAAATGTATGCAGTTTGTCGCCATTGCACGGGGCATGTGCAGTGTTAAATAATGTCATGTTTGGAATCTGTTTACTGGGCATACCATCATCTTTTATATTTTACCAAATAATTGGCCAATATACTGTATTGTGTTTTTGTACATTAAAAGTAAAAAAAGTGAATTTTTGTTTTTAATTTGCTTTTGAAAAATCACTGTGTGAATATTTTATTCATTAGGGTGTCTGCTTTAAAAAAAAATATACAATGTTTGGGGGTTTAAATTAATTTCCTAGCAAAAAAATACTGATTTTTTTCATGTGAACAAAAAGTGTCAGAAAAGAATTGATCTTCAGGTGGTTTGAAGAGTGAGTGATGTGTGGCACAAACTTCTAATGCTGGGCATAAAATCCCCCCCCCCCCAAAATGACCCCTTTTTGGAAAGTAGATACACCAAACTATTTTCTGAGAGGCATGTTGAATGAATAGAAGAATTCATTTTTTTACCACAAGTTTTTGAAAAAATGACAAAGATAATTTTTTTTTTTTTTTACACAAAATTGTCAGTTAAATGATGATTTATTGCTCACACATGCAATTGGTATATGTGGAATTGCTCCCCCCAAAATACGTTCTGCTACGTCTCCCGAGTATGGGGGGTACCACATGTGAGAGACGTTTTGGCAGTCTAGCCAAGTACAGGACCCCCAAAATCCAATAAGCACCTTCAGGCTTTTAAAAGGCTTTATTTCCTCATTACACTTCCTGACTACCTATCACAGTTTCGAAGGTCCTGAAATTTCCATCATAGCACCAAACCCCCCCAACAAATGACCACGTTTTGGAAAGTAGACACCCCAAGGAATTTGATAAGAAGCATGGTGAATATTTTTGCAGATCTCGTTTGTTGCCAACAAGTTTTTAGAAAATTAAGAAAAAAAACAAAAATATATTTTTTCTTTTCTTTTTTCATATTTTAAAACCTTGTGAGAAAAAATGAGATCTGCAAAATACTCACCATGCCTCTTTTTAAATTCC